TTAAAAACATTTGAAAGATTTTGTATTTAAAATGAATAAAAAATATAATTTAAATGTATTAATTACATGTAATGTAAAGGATAGGGTGCTACTTTTTTTTCCTCATTATTACTTCTTTAAAACAATTTAAAAAAAAAAAATGATAGTAAATGTAAAAAAGGTAACATGACTTTAAGGCCTGCTTTGAGTAAATTAGTCAAATATTAAAGCTTTGTTGCACTTAAACCATTTAAATAACAAGTCTATAAAACTCTTTTAAAGTTTTTATATATTAAAAATGTGATACCTACCATGCCAATGAATCAAAGACTTAATTAATTCACAACCATCGAGTTTGTTATTATTATCAGCATCATGCATCTTAAAGTAATGAAATTGAAGTTCTTGTTCAGTCATTTTACTAGTGTCTACAGGAACATCTAAATGCTCTTGAATATGCCTGCAATATTACACATGAAATTTTAACATATTCAATTATTTGATTTACAAATAAAATTTTAAAAAAATAGAATTAAACTATAGATGTTAAATAGTAGAATTATAAATTTCTGTAAAAGACGAATTAAAATTTTGAGTTGCTTTTGATGGTATTACTTAAAGTTAAACATAGATTAAAACATTTTAGACAAATTTTTACTTAAAATGTTTTTCTTTGATTGAAAAAAACCTTAAAAAATTTTTAAGTAAAAAGTAATATTTTAAAAAGATTTTCATTTCGAGAAGTGTTATCACTGATTCTCTGCAAATTATACTTATTATGAAAATCATTAACTCTTTTTGCACACTTACTCTTTTTCAAGAGCTATATTGCTAGCATGAAGTATTTGTTGTGGATGTCCTGCCTGAGGATGCGAAGGATGCACTGCAGCTGGTTGTTGCGGAACAGGCACTTGCTGATAAGTTGGTTGTTGGATTGGCTGTTGTATTGGTTGCATAGGTTGTTGTGGCACTGGAACATGTTGAGGTGGTTGCTGTGGTACTTGAGGTTGATAATAAGCCTGTTGTTGTTGTGGTACTTGTTGATATTGTTGAGGAGGCGGTTGCTGATAATGTTGTGGTGGTACACCAGGAGCTACTCTTTGAGACGTTACTAAAACTATAACCTCGAACACGACAACAGAAAATGTCACTATGTTTTTCATGTTGAATATGTAATTATACTTTTTTTGCTTTAACACTTTTTTATTATTTTAACATACGGAAATAAAATTATGTATAAAGAATACGTTACTCATGACGACACTTGCCACAAGTTTACGACGTGTCCCTTGTAGATTTGTAGACAAATTTTTACGTGCAATTAGAAACCTTCAAGTTCCGTCTCTTCGATTGTTGTTATTATTAGTTAAAGTAGGGTTGGTTCCCGTGGAAAAATCCTCACTTTTAGAAATCAGTAATGCTATGTAAAATGTATTCTGATTATTCAAAAAAATATTAAAAAAATTATTTACCCAGTAGTAGTGATAATAATTTACAAAAAATGTCTCTAAGCCAATCAACTGTGGTAAGTATGACGTGAGAAAAAAGTAGCCATTTATACAGAATAAATTTTAAAGATCGATAAGAATTATTTTAAACTGTAATATATGTCTTAAAATTTTAGTTAGCTTTATTATTTTTTTGTTTTTTGTGAAAAATTTTTTTATAAAAATGACAGCATAATTTTATATTTCAAAGTACATATAAATTCTGCATTAGAACGCAGGTCAAATTACTAATTTTTGATAGATATAAAAAATTTTTTTTACAAAAAAATTTCAAAATTACAAACAATTATTCTCATGTATTTACTTACATTTTGATAAAAAAAAATATTGTATAATTCTTCTATTTAAAATTAATTGAAGGAATTAACAAATTTTATTGAAATTTTAGTTACAACTCTACCACAGTGTTATTGAAGATGTTGTAACAAATGTAAGGGAATCTTTCTTAGATGATGGGGTTGACGAACAAGTTTTACAGGAGCTAAAACAAATATGGGAGTCTAAGTTGCAATCTACTAAAGCTGTAGAACTAACTCCCGAACCCCAAGAACCCCAAAATGTAGGTATGGCAAGAAGTGGTGGTATTAAATTAGGTGGTGTAAAGCGACCTGCTGGTCCATCAGGAGATGCAGAAGGTAATTAATTATATTAGAAACAAAATTATTACAATTTTTTTAAAACTCAAAATTAAAAAAGTTATATTTTTTTAGAACATAGTAGTAATCAAGCTATTGCAACTGATGATCAATCCATAGGAGCTTTTCGTTCTGAAAAACTTTTCCCAGTTCAAATTACTTTGCCTGCTCAGCAGGGATCTGGAGAAACTGGTCCAAGAGTTTTGACCATTCAAGTCCCTGAATCTGCAATTACTGGTAATATAATAATTTTAATGCCACAATTTTGTTCTGTCTATAAATTTTAGACTTTAAAATATAAATTTTTTACAGGAAATCATTTGCAAGCTGTTTTAACTGGACCCCTTATTGGTGCAACACTAGCTCTTCCTACTGCATTAGCCACATCAGTTCTTCAGCAACATGTAACTGCTGCTCTTAGAGGTCAACAAACGGGAAGTTTGCTTGCTTCCAGGCCCTTTAATGTTGTAAGAAAAATATATTTTACATATATATATATTTTATTAGCTAGTTAATCATTAAACATGTTTTCATTACAATGAAATTTTTTAGCAGCAAGATAATAGTACAGCAAGTCAAGTAGATGGAACTTTTGACTCAAATTTTTTAAAATCATTACCATTAGCCGATAAAGGTCCAGCTCATGTTGTAGTAAGAACTGGTCTTTTTAAATATTCAATTGAAACTGTTACATCTTCCAAATATCCAGAGTCTGTAAGGCAAGTAGATGGAGGGATAGACACGTCAGATGAAGACGATGATGATATCGATGATGAAGAAGAAGAAAAAGAGGAGGAAGAAGAGAAAGATGAAGAGCCGGAAAATTTAGAAGGAGCCGTTGAAGAGGAGCCATTGAATTCTGGAGATGACGTGAGCGATGAAGACGTGTCTGATCTTTTTGACACCGATAACGTTGTTGTTTGCCAATTTGATAAAATTACAAGAAGTAGAAATAAATGGAAATTTTATTTAAAAGACGGTATTATGAATCTTTCGGGAAAAGATTTTGTTTTTCAAAGGTCTAACGGAGATGCCGAATGGTAAATTTTTATTTATAAAGTCCTCTTCCTTTTTAAGTATGTCTTAAACAACGTATTATTAATTTGTTACGGAAAAAAATGATATTTAAAAGGGCTAAAAATAGTTTTAATGTACATAAAAAATCATATCCCAATCAATGGATATTATTAATAAAAAATAAAAAAAATTCAAAAATGGTGTAGAATAATTTTTTTTTTTTTTTTTAGTTTTAATTTTAATTCTTTTTTTAAATTTAAATTTAAATTTAAGTTAGTGTATCATTTATTTTTATTTTTTTTCACATGAAGCAAAATAAAAATTTTTAAATCGAAGCGATTTTAATTATTTATAATTTTTCAATAAATTTTTGGCTATTTATTTATTTTTAATTTTTTTTATTCAATCAAAATGATAAATGCAGTTGCGAAACATTTCTTTTCTGTATAATATAGTTATTTATTATGAAATTTTCCGCGACTGAAAAGCCATTTAAAAAAAAAAATAAAAAAGTGATTTTGTAATTAAAAAAAAAAAGGGATTATAAAAAAACATGAGCACTGTGTTATTATTTAATAAATAATTTTTTTTTTCATTTTTTTTTTTGCCTTGTTGTACTTTTTTTTCCCCCAATAAAAAATCCAATCAATTTTTTTTTTTTGTTGTTGTAATTTTCAAGTTTTATTTATTTAAAAATAAATTATAATAAAATATGCTTAATTCTCATAAAAAATCATTTTAATTATTTAAAAATTTATTAAAGTGATCATAAATAAATAAACAAATAAATAAATTATTATTTTGTTAAGAATGTATAATTGTGTCAAATTCGAAACCGGAAATAGATTCTAAACAAATATATTTTTTTTATTAGTCATCATCATCATCATTATTTTCATCAATCGTCATAATTACTTTTGATGTAACATTTAACCTGAGGGATATTTATTTAGAGATATTTATTAATTAACTTTTTTTTTTATTTAAAATTTATTTTCTGGGCAAAAAATGTTTGTTTTCCCATATTAACATAGAATTTTGTTTAGGTAACACCTTAAAAATGGGAGGCTCGTATATTGACTTTTCATTATTAAATTTACTTTATCATAATAATTACAGTTAAGTTTCTAACTAAAAAAAAAAAAAAAACCCACACTTGTTAAAGGAAAAAGGTGAGAAAAATTTTTTAATCAAAGAAGAAGTTTATATAATAATAATAATAATAAATGTCATTAAAATAAAATTTATTAAAAAAAAAACATATTTTTTTATTTAATTTTTTTTTTTTTTTTACGGTAATGATTCCATTGTTTATCTATTAAATTATTAATAGATTAAACGAGTTATGTAACTTTATTATTATTATTATTATTATTATTATTATTATTATTATTACTTTTGTCCACAGATCTGTTGAATAATTTTTAATTTTATTTTTTTTCAATACAATTTAAAAAAATAATTTACTCTTTTTGAGCATGTAAAACGTTAATGTTTTTTATATAACTATTATTATTATTATTTTATAATTTGTGGTTTTTTTCTCAAATTAAATTTCAAAAATTTTAATTTTTTTTTTTCCCCCCCCCCCCCCGCAAATAATATCGCGAATTAATAAATCACTCAAATCGCCATCTTTAAAATTTTCACACCTTTTTAAATCCGATCGCAAAAAAAAATTTTTTTTCCTACAGTAAAAAAAAAAAAAAACATAAAATCTGTAGTTATGAATTCCATTCATAATTCATTATTCAATTCATAATTTTTTTTTTTTTCATAAACAATTAAATTTCAATTTAACAATATTTGTTTTATTAATTTGAACCGGGTGAGTAATTAATTTGCGAAAACTTTCTTTATACAGAAACTCACAAATTTCACGTCGCGAAAAAAGTTTTTTTTTTTTTTTAATAAACAGACAAACAAACAAACAAACAAACGACAAACACCGAATACAATTAAAAATAAAAATATAATTTAAAAATTTTATTAATTAACCGTTAAAATTTTGGTAAAAAAAAAAAAAATAATAAATAAATTTTTCCCATTTGAAGCTATTGTTGTACACACGTACACACACACACACGACAATTATAATAGAGTATTTAAAATAAATACATAACTTATTAAAAAGAAAAAATTATGTAAAAAAATTAACAACAACAACAACAACCAAAATTTTGTTCGTTGAAAAATGGGGAAAAAAAAGAAATGCTTTCGATTATTAAAATTTTTTTTTTTTTATTTTCCAAACTGGGTCGAATGATTTAATTTTTTTTCGGGGGGAAAGTTACAAGTTGAAAATCGTAAGTGATTAAATCATAACAAAATTTTTTTTTTGTTTAAAATCAAAAGTGAAGGAAGAAAATGTTGAAGGACAAATAATTTCTCAATTACATAATAATCCTATCAATATAATCATAATAAAATTAAAATTTAATCAAATGTATTTGGTTCCATACGAGAAACCCCCCCCCCCTTGGAAAAATTACCCTCTTTGGTTTTAATGAAAAGGTTTACAAATCAAAAGCCTCAAATTAATAAAAATATAACTTTAATAAAAAAAAAAAAAAAAACAGAAAAAAGTTTTAAATAATAATTTTAATTACAAAACATTTTTTAAAAAAATTTCCAAGTAATAATAATAATAAATTTTTTCTAAACTCTTTGGCTACTATTATTTTTTTTTACATATAGAGAAAGAGAGAGAGAGAGACAATTTAAAATTTAATTTACATATAAAAAACTCTCAATCCTTGACATGATTTTTTTTAAAAAAATATGTTTCATCTTTTCCAATAAATTTGATTCACATCGCCGTTATGTAATAAGTTAACAAAAAAAAATTTAAGTTATTAAACCATTAAAAAAAAAAAAAAACATTGTTATTTTATTTTATATCCTAACCATGCTGTTAGTAAAAAAATTATGTAAAAGGTCTTAATTATAAATATATATTGTTTTAAAAAAGGAAGAAAAAAAAAATTGTCAGACTAAAATATATTTTTTATACTAAAGCTCCAAAAAAAAAAAAAAAAAAAAGAAAATTACTTACTTCATTAGAGAGTTATATTCAGCACATATTTAACACAAATGATATTTTTTCTTACACAATAGATTATATAATAAACTTAAACCATTAAATTCTTATTAATGATTTTGTAAAAAATAATTTTTAATAATAATTTGTTTTTTAAACAAAAAAAATTTAGTCAACGGTCATTTGTGTGTACAACAAAAAAAATAAAATATATACAAAAACTTATGTAAAATGGACTTGTTTCATTTTTTAAAATTAATTAAATTAAATAATGATGATGATGATGCACTGGATAGTATCAATTAGATAACGGTTTTTTATTAAATAATGTTAATAACCAGAGCGTTTTATTATTAATTATTTATTATTTTTAATAATTCTATTGTAAAAAAAAAACTATTAAATTTTTGCAATTTATATAAACGAAAATTTTATTTTAATTGGTTTCGATCTGATTTCTTTCTGTTTTGGTTATTGTTAATAATTAATTAATAAATTTATTTAAAAAATACCTCGTTTTTATAATCAATGGCAAGGATTTTGAACAACAACATTAAATTATTTATAATTAGTAGTAACTTTTTAACACCTTGATAGTAGTATCCTTAAACTTTTCTTTTTTTTTTTTTTTAATGATACAATGTCGAGGTGAACTAAAAAACAAAAAAACACGTAAATGAATGAAAGTAACTTCTTGAAATGAAAAAAAATCATACGCTTTCCAAAATCAAAAAGAAATTTGTTTTTTTAAATAATTGAAGTGCAGAAACAAAAAACAAAAAAATTATAACCGTTTTTTTTTGTTTTGCAAACGTTTGAGATGGTCATAGATATATAAAACAGTCTAGTCGGTTAATATCGAAAAGTAATATTTAAAATGTTAGGCTTACTCATAAGTTAAGTATATAAGTAAAAATGCATCCAATGACCAGGTACTAATAACGTTTAAAGATAACGAGTAGGTTATACAAATCATGAACTCTATTAAGATGGTTAATATCTTCAGTTTCACTCTCGATGCCGCCGACTATTGACACGATGAAATTGTGCGCGAATTTTTTGTTTATTTTTTGGACATTAACGGTCATTCGTTCGGAAAATAAAATTTTAGATAAGTCGATGTTAGAAATAGATCATGATATAAAAATATTTGAAAACGATACGGAGTCGAATGAAAATATTAACAATACCGATTCGATGAAAATGAAAAATGAAGAAAATATTCGTAATCCGATTCAAAATTACCTCAAATCGAATTTAGACGTATTCAATCCTCAAAAAATCGAATTGTTTTTATACATGGAGGGTGATAATATATCGAACGTTTGTTATGAAAAATTAAATCGATATTTAATTGGATTGAGGGAAGGCGAATCGTGGGCGATAAAAAGTAAGTAAAATAATTTTTTTTTTTTCGAAAATAAAAGTCGAGTTGAAAAATATTCGACAGAACCTGATGGAATTCTTTGATTGTATGAAATATTTAACAAGTGGGCAAGTTGACTAAAATTTTGTTGAATGTTTTCACAAAACATTTTCTGTTTTAAATTATGTTTTTGAAAAAGTTTAAAACTTTATTGTGCATTCCAATTTAGGCTTTTACCGGTTAGTTTATTTCTAAAATTTTTTGATTTAGGCTAAACATTTGTATCATTTAAAGAATAAACATGTATTAACCTTTTTGAAAGACAACAAAATTATAAGCAATATTATTAATTGTGAACCAAACCAATTAATTTAAATTAATTATTTACACAAAACAATATCGAAAAGTTTTTTTTCAAATTACAAAAACAAACAAAATAATCAAAACAAAAAATAAATTTATTGGGTAGAAAGTTTCAACTCGAAGGACAAAATAAAAATCCCAAAAGAAATTTTTTTTTAGGTTAAAAAAATGATTCAACAAAGAGTTTTTCTTCAAAAAGTATGCAATTCTTTTTTCCGAGAGTTGGAAAATTTTTTTTCGTAATTTTCAATTTTATTAAATATTTTCTGTTTTTCCGGATTGATGTGTGTGTTTTTTTTTTTATTGAGTAACTTTCAAAGAATATTACCCAATCGAAAAAATCTCTTTAAAAAAAAAAAAAAATGAAATGAAATTTAAGAAAACTGCATTTTGAAAGGTGACAAAATTACCTGAGGGTCTTTTACAATTTTCCTAATTTTATTAATCAAATAAACACACGTAATAATAATAATAATAATAATTATACGTAATCAATTTATTATCATAATTTATTAATTATGTAAAATAAAATTTAAAAAAAAAAAAATCCCCATAATCAGTGAACTGTAAATTTTTAATGATCGATATTTAATTACGAAAAAAAAAAATTTTTTTTTTTAAATTTACGCGCCAAATTATACGTCATAGAGTAATAATTTTGTTTTTTTTTTTTTTTCTCAAAACGTTTCAGAAACGGAAATTAAGATTTACGTTTAATTACTTATTGATTTTAACACGTAATTTTTTTTAATTAAATCCGAGTAATTTTTTCTTTTTACGCGCATTTCCTCCACCTTAAAGTTAATCAACTTTAGGGCTTTTCCCCTTTTGCATAACACGGGTATTTTCATATGCCAATGATAAAAAAAAAAAAAAAAAAGAAAAATTTCATTTTTTATTATATTGATGATTGTATGCAATACAGAAAACAACCGAGTCATGTTTTAAGTAATGATTTTCATTTTCTTTTTCGGACGCATAAAGTTCTTTAACCGGTTTGTTATGTCATCCGCCATTTGCGATTTTTTTTTTTTTTATATCCGCGGAAGTTAAAAATAAATCATTATTTTCGATATAACGTAATAATAATAATAATAGGATATTTTATAACAATAGCTAACCATTTCGGTTTTTTTAAAATAAATGTTTAATCAACCTTGAAATTCTAACTTATTATTATTATTATTAAAAAAAAAAAAATGGCGAAAAAAATTTCTGTGAAAATTAATGCGACGAAATTTTCTTAACAACGTATTATCGTTATCACTGTCATAAAAATAATTTTATGAAAATTTTTCGGTTCGACTCATTCATAACATAAAATTACACATTAATTTTTCCAGAGATGTTATGAAAGAAATGTAATCATTACTAAATCTCCAGCTCCAATTATTATTATTATTATTATGTTTTGTGTGTTTATGTAAAAGGTTATAATTTTTTTTTTTTTTTTTCAAATTTCGAAGGTTAAATTTTAATGACGGCCATTTTTACCACAAAATAATTTTTGTTGTTGTTGTTGTTGTCGAATCCGATCGAATTAAAAAAGTAGTGCGTGTGTGCGTGTGCGTGTGTCGGATAATATTTTCTCAGGAAACGTGATAATTTTATAAATTATTTCTTACGTGAAGATCTTCTTATCATTACGTAACTGGACACATAAACCGGAATAATTTTATTTATCTTATTTAATCTCTCTCTCTCTCTCTCTTTGCGTAGGATAACAAAAAAAAAAAAGAAAGCATATCGATAAACAGGATATTAATTTTATTTATTTATTTTTTAATGATCGATTTTTTTTTTTTAATATACTAACGAAGAATCGCGAGTAATAACAAATTGCAAAGTCACAATTTTAAACAAAAGAAAAAAATAATTTTAATGTATAAAAAAAAATGACTTTCACGCTTTTTTTCCCCCTTATTGTGCCTGTGTGCGTGTGTGTGTGTGTGATAGGGAAACAAGTTAATAAACATTACATAAATAAATAATTTTTTTTTTAATATACACAAAACAATGGCCGCAAAATGAAATCGTATAAAATAAATTATTATTATTATTATTATTATTATTATTATTATTATTATTATTATTATTATTATTATTATTATT